GCCGAAAGACTTTGCCGAGCTGCCGTTGAGATTATACCAACTATAGAACTCGTCCAAGATGACGCCCTGACCATTGCGACTGACCTGGATGAGTTCCTCGAGCTCGGCTCCTTCAACGGCCTGGCCGGTGGGGTTCCTGAGGTTGGAGGAAAAGAGGACCGAGAGGCCCATCTGGTTGATGTTTGCCTTCGGCTTGTTGATGTGCAGCTTGTAGTTGTCCAATCACCAAAAGAAATGCAACACAAGATCAGCCTCTTATCAACCCCTCAAAAAAAAGAACACACATCTCAAAGAAAGAAGTCTGAAAAAACCACTTATCACATTCCGAGATAAAGAGAAAACAACATCCCCACAATGAATCATCAAAAAAAAGACCTAATGTCAGCCTCTATGCTACTAACCTATAAGGGTTGTGCTCTGAGTGTTAACAAGAATGGTAAGTGAGAAGGTTTATTCGTGGTTAAAATCCCTCAACCTGTAAAAGAAACAGGGAGGAGTCAGTGAGGAATGGTTCTTCTACTGCTGACTCATCCAATTATTCAATTGGGCATCCAGATCAATCCTGTTACGTGGATTAATAGGCTTCCAATGAGAGGAATTCTTCTACTCACTTGGGATCAAGTCTTTTAACAACAATCCAGATGAATAAGTGTATGTACACTTAAGGACCAGAATTGTTTAACCAGGGGGATAATTCTTTATGCAATAGAGATAAGTAGAAATGCCTTGAATCTGAGCAAAGTAAATCTATTTAGGTCTAAGGTAGCTGGGTTGTAATGTTATTGGTGGTTTGAAGCACTAATAATCACGGTACAAGTGTTGGTTTGATGCTACTAGAATTTCCTGGGGGAAAAAGGTAGGAATCTGAGCTCCTTAAATATTCTACAGGGGGCTCAGGGGAATAGGAGAGGCCCTCAGGGCACTAGGGAGCTTCTTAGCAGCTCTACAATTTCGTGTAAGGATGGGAGCTGCAGCTGTGCAGTGCTATGCATGGGTGGAAGGTCCTAGGACATGAGATCATACATGCATAATTGAGTTTTGTGGCCTATTTCTCACGTAATTGAAAGGGCTACATTTACTGTGCAGGGGCTGTGCAGTTGTAGAGTTGGTTGCATACGTGTAACTCTGCTTATGCAAGCTTGTGATCATGAGAAATGCATGTCCTTCATGCATAATTCAGTCTTGCATGTAGAATTTGGGCTCCTTTCCCGTGCAGGCTACTTTGAATTATGCAAGCTTTGAATTAGAGCACAAAAGGGTCCTGATGACGCCATCCAAGAGGGATATGATGCAATCTGATGCCCTGATGATGTGATCCAGGATGGGTAAGCTTCAGATAAATGTATATAGCTTATTCCTCATCCATTTCACGCTTCTACTAGCTGATTCTTTATACATATGTAATTATTTATGGCTTATAAAATATGTACATAATGTATAAGAATAAACATTGTTTTAATACTTTATTCTAATGTTATTTCTGTGAAATCCTAGTGATATTATATGTACAATACTCAAGGGGATTTCACAGTTAATTATAGATTTATTAAATATAAATTATGAATTAAGATTAAATGTAAATACATATTTATTTATTTATTATTTTAACAACAATGTATGATATTTTCCAGTATTCAATTAGTTATTATTATTGCAGTTACTAGGTACATTTCACGTACTGTGAAATGTGCTCTGTGGCTGACACCTAAGATGTGAGTTTCTTGCTGTGCATTTCTCTCTCCCCCCCTGGACTGGAGACAAAGAGAGGAAGAGATTGGGTCCACCAAACACACGTACACAGCACCGGAAAGGGAAAGCTAGAAGACCTTGTCCGAAATTAGGCCAAGTGTGGTCGTTGTAGGAGAAGCCATTAGCCATTGCGCGATCCATGACGAAGATGACACCAGTGGAGCCGGGGGGGGCTGATACCAGGGAGCATATTGTCTTCGTCGGGTTTGGAGGGGGTGGGCGAGGTGACAGCAGACCAGACGCTCTTCTTGGTCGAGGAGGATGCACTGGATCTCTTGCTAACATTGCATTTGATGCAGGATGATTGGATGGGCGGCCCGTGGGCTTCCGAGTCGTCCTCTTGGATCGGGATACATACACACATCATGCCATCCACCCAGAACATCCTCGCGAGTCTTCCACTCGCCCCTCCAGAATCCATCTTCCAGCTCGCAGCTGCTTACAAGGCCGATCAATTCCAGGAGAAAGTCGATCTTGGTGTCGGAGCTTACCGGGTCGACTGTGGCAAGCGATGGGTCCTACCGGTAGTCAAGACGGTCAGTATGTATTACAAATTAAACTCAAGACCTGGTCAACTGCCTGTATGTACGACATACTTTGCTAACCCTCTTCAATACTGCATTGCCACTTCTTTGCTGATCCAGAGGGAGTTCTCAGAAGACGAAATTCTCGACCGCGAGTACCAACCTATCACGGCCTGACCTTCCTTCACCTCGGCCACCTCAACCTTGATCTTGGGATCTAACAGTCCCGCTATATCTGGGACCGGTCAGTTGTTCTTATCCTCTTTCTGATTCCCGCATTCACACACACACAAGAACGAATACTCACTCGATGCTGCAAAAAAAAACCCGTGTGGCCAAAGCGCAGACGATCTCAGGGACAGGCGCAAATCATTTTGGTGGTCTCTTCTTGGCATACCAAGGTTTCGCATCTGGTGACTTGGATAATGATTTCTGGGCAGTCCGCCACCTTGTCAATTGTAAGATTCCGCTATTGATCTGTCAATGTTTTGTGAAGAACGCTGGGCCCTACGGAGAGAGAATCGGCTGGTTGACTGTCGTCCCTAAAGATCAATACGAGGCCAGTCAAATCGAGAGTCAGATCAGCGTATTACAATGCAGTGAGATCTTCTACCCTCCTGCTAACGGGGCTCGGGTCGTTGAGTCTCCTTTTTTGTGCTTTTTTTACCTCGCTCTGAGCTGAACTAGGATATTGTAAGATTTGGTCTTTTTGGTATAACCGAATTTCTTCCTCACCTGCTTTTTCTAGGTCTCCAAGATTTGAAACTAGGGTCAACATTTCGAACAATGGAAGAAAGATGTCCGAGAGATGACCGATTGAATTATTGATATGCATGCAAACGCACCTAGAGGATTTGCTTGAGAATAAATATAAAACCCCCAGTTCATGAGAACACATCAGCCAAGGATTGGCATGTTTTTGTAAGTCCCTAGTGTCTGAGAGATTGAGCAAGCAAGATTTGATTAGTTTTCACTCTTCTTTTAACAATTAGTTTCACTGGATTGACTCCCCCTCAAGTCGAAAAGATGGTTGAGAATGCTCACATCTATATGACAGGTAATGGTCGAATTTCCATGGCATAAGTGGTGTGTCTTAGGAAATATTCTGCTTGTGTCTGAGCTAATGATCAAACTTGCTTCGACCAAAATGACCCATTGTTGATATGCTGTTTATCTAGTGGATTGAATTCTTCCAACGTCGAATATGTCGCTGATTGTATTGGCATAGCTGTTCGAGCCAAGCTGTAAAGGACGGATCAATTTTCTCAGCTTAGGATGAAGCAGGGTTGACATCACAAATGACATCCCCGCTCATCACTTAAGGACACCCATCCTCAGATGAATCGAGCCTCAGACTAATCATCCCCCTCCTCCACAGGCCAGTATCCAGATTCACTTCCCTCTCTCTCCTTGTCTTCCTAACTTCATCGTTCGTGGATATCAAATCCTGTAAATACAAATCTACAGAACAGAAGTCTCTAATCGCAATAAATCTCTTAATTCTAAATTCTTACACTCACGCCATCAGCTTGGCCAAATATGTTTTTAGTACACACTGTTTGTGAGTGCATGAAACGGCATTGCTTCACTCCAGTTGGGAAATCGGGTACGTTTTCCTTGCATGATCTGTCTTCTGATGATAAATTTGTAAACAACTTGATTGATTGATTGTTATACGCACTAATTTCATTTGCTCTATGTTGAATAAACAGAAATATTTTATCAAAGTTATTCATGAACTATCTGGAAAGCCCCAGTCTCAATATCTTTAAGCCATTTGCGTCGAATGCTGGTGAGGATATGATCAGCTCCCATATCTAATTCTTGTACGGTGAGGGTAGCTTCTTCGGTCTGGACAACAGTCAGGTATGGATACATTCTAGCTAACCTGCCCACTGGGTCTTTTTGTTTTGGAAAGACAACATTATCAACCCCAAGAGCTTCACCTGTCATGTGGTCCATTTCCAGATTACGGTTGCATAAGCTATGGATATATATTGATTGAATTATGATGTTATTTTTCAGGGTAATTATAGTGTCACACACCTAGTAATTGGTTCAGTTTGTGCCGTAAATTGGTCCGTACAATGTCCGATGGTTTTCCAACAGAAGATTCTTCATCCCCTGTGCCAGTGAGGTCTTCAACAACTTGTTGAATTCGTCTTCCTTGGCTGTAAGCTTTGAACACCGCCTTGGCGGTCCATTGATCGCTCACGACTTGGAGCCATGTAGGATCGTTTGACAACTCGCGGCAAAAACTGCCAGTCCCAGGGAATCGTGTGGCAGTGAGGAGGTAGTACGTCAAGTTGTAGGCTGTGGATACGGTATAAAGCTGATATTCACCTTTCTTCATGAGCCATATGTTAATGTGGAGTTGGACAGGAATATGGCTGACCGCTGAATTTATACGAGTGATGTGGCACGACACTTGATTTTCTATTTCAGATCGACCACCATCTTCAATCGCCCGTTGGAGGACCATGGCTACCTTTTCGTGATTGACCAGTTCATTATATGTTGGTTCAAAATACGCCTCTTCTTCAGGAGACAGGATTTGGGTAGGTGAGTTATTGTTGGGCTCATCTTCTTCTTCGTCTTCTCCGTCGTAGGGTATTGGTATTTTAGAAAAATGTCGGAAAATCCTCGCGTCAAAAAACAATTGGTCTTCAGGGGGCATCGCCTGCCACACTGCACCAAGGTGGCCATTCCTTTCGTCCCATCCATGAGGTGAGCCCTTAGGTGGTGCTATAAAGAAATATGTATGTGAGTTCCTGTAGCTTAGATTGATGTGTAAGTACTGATTTGGTAATACATACTAGGGGTTTCGGCACTCTCTTTGCTGAAGGCAACAAAACGATTCCAGTTGCTTTTTTGGCGTGATGGATGATCTTCCCCCCTGTAAGCATATCTCAAGCGTCAGGGAAATGTGACAATATATGTGTGAAATAAATGACTCACTGGAATGAGTTGACCGTTTTGACTGACACATTACCGATCAAGGCTAACATCATCTTCATTTTATTGTAGTTCATTTTGTGGTATTGCAGGGCCTCTTGGATTTTCAGCTGGGATACGATTGCTTTGGCCGGTCTGTTGTCCCAGGACTTCTCGTAGTTGCCTTTCAGTCCAGAGGTCGAGGCGGCTTTTGTAATTCTCCAGGGTCAGTCCATTAAAAGGGCCATATCCGTCACTTGCAGGGCTCGCTTTGTGTTCATGGCCATCATCCCATGGAGTATCCTCTCGTGGCCAGTTTTCTGCTGCACTTTCCGAGTCAGATGGCCTAATGACCCCTGCTGGGTAGCACTGCCAAAGCTACTGGCCCTTCCCGGAAGGGCACCACGACCTCCGCGACCCGCTTGTCCTCCTTGACCCGCTTGTCCTCCTCGACCTGCTTGACCACCTCGACCTGCTTGACCGCCTCGACCTGCTTGACCGCCTCGATCTGCTTGACCGCCTCGACCTGCTTGACCGCCTCGACCTGATTGACCCCCTTGACCGTCTTGATCGCCTCAACCTGCTTGACCGCCTTGACCTGCTCCTCCTCCTCGACCTACTTGACCGCCTCGACCTGCTCCTCCTCCTCGACCAGCTCGGACCTGCTGGCCGCCAAGTGGACCTAGGCCAACTCGGGAAGATGATGGGGTAAGGCCATTTGCTCGGTTGGTTTCTGATGAGCGGCTTCTGGTTTGGTGACCGGTATTTTGAGATCTTCGGGTTTCTACCATTTTGTTTGATTGCTAATTTTGTGAGATGTATAACAACTACGGGGATACTAATGTCTACACTTGTTCTTAAGTGGGAGTGGACAATGTGATTATGTAAATAAGGTGGGTCTTGGTCGGTTAGATCATCGGGGGGGGGGGGGGGTTAGACAATTTTTAGGGGCTTTGCCTGATCACTGTCCAAAGCGACCAAGGTGAACAGTTCGTGAATTGGTATTCATGGATGCAGCTGCAGTTTGTGAATTGGAATAGATGGATGCAGCTGACAGGTATACAAATGTCAATTGTACACTATTGACATTGCCATGGACGCCATCAATCTGTATTATGAGCTAGTCTGTAAAATATGAAATGTGTTTGAATTACAATGGCTGCATGCGGTGGAAAGGTATATAATTGGGTCTTGTGTGATACTGAAATTCAGATGAAATTTAAGTATCCATATACTGAGATAGTTTAGATCAAATGTGGGATCAGTTTCATCTTATAGGGTGAGCATGACCGTAAACACCGTTCTATTCAAGGATGAATGGCAATTATCAGATGCCATTCTTCAAAGGTGTATGATGAGGTTTTTGTCCTTGCAGGCACATATGTAGTGGTTTACACTTGGCAATACCACCTGGGCAAGATTCCAAGGAGATGCGAAAAAAGCATCTCATTTGTAATTGGTATGCAACTGTACGTAAGATACAGTTGACATTGAAATGGAAATGCAAACACCCAAAAAATGCAAGAGCATGATTGAGCAATGCACAAGAGGAGCCTGTTAGGTCTTCTATTTACAGCCACAAACATTTTTCATTTGGGGCAAATTAAATACCTACTCTGGCCCCAGGGATCTGGAGGTGATTTGTGGCGGGCATGACCCCATATGATGTCTTATTTGTACATGAAGAGGCAGTTCTGATGGCCCACAATTACGAAAGGATAAAGGGTTGGTTGTGTATGTTTTTGAGCACTAGAGGAGGAATAGAATCCAAAAATATAAACCATTGTTGTGTATGATGCAATATACAAAGGTTTAAAATTTTCAAACACACCATTGGGAACGCATACCAAGAGAGGCCATCCTATGGACTCATCTATGGCCTTATGGGCACCTCTCATGCACAGTCACATTCTTCTAGGTATAGTATGTGTATTGGAACTTATATAGGAATGCAGACTGAATTCCATTGTCACCCTTGAGTAGTTTCACTAGGTTCAATGAAATCTTCCTAATTCAGACAAAATCATTCTAATTCAGGCCAAGCCAAAGCACAGTCACATTCACATTATAGTACGTGTGATGAGACATATAGAGACATGCAGAATAAATAGCATCTATACCCTTGAGTGGATTCAACCACTAAAGATGTTGTGTTTGTACTATATTGGATGTGAGTGGATTCAACCACTAAAGATGTTGTGTTTGTACTATATTGGATGAAATGATCACTGCCATAGTCACTTCACCATTAACCCATATATATCATCAGATTAACATATTACAAAATATGAGCTCTAATGTATTTTAATTATTGAGTGATAAATTTCAAGGATGATGACACTTATACAGGTGACTTAACTAATCCTTTAACATATTCATAAACCAAGAACTTGTCCATGCTGCCCTTGCAGCTAATTCATTCTTGATAATGCAACTCTAAAAGGGGTATGGCTTCATAGGGAGTCCACTGTATTTAGTCACACATTTTTTATGAGAAGCACTATGTTTTACCATAACACAGGAAATTAATATGCGCATCACTATGTCACTTCAATGAAGTGGGCTTTATCTGTACATGCTTTTCATCTGTCAACTGCATAAAATTATGGAATTCTAAAGCCCTTGGACCAAACCCCATAAACATATTAGCTTGAATAATGCAACACTGCATGTGTGTCTCAACATTAATGTTCACTTTTGAAATAGGTATATGATGGTTCACCTAGAATAAGAAGATGAAGGGTAAGGTCATATAATTGCACAGATGATCACATCCCAAGAATGGCCCCTATCAGGCAATATTTTGACACAGGTGACTTAACTAATCCTTTAACATATTCATAAACCAAGAACTTGTCCATGCTGCCCTTGCAGCTAATTCATTCTTGATAATGCAACTCCAAAAGGGGTATGGCTTAATAGGGAGTCCATTGTATTTAGTCACACATTTTTTATGTGTTTTACCATAACACAGGAAATTAATATGCGCATCACTTTGTCACTTCAATGAAGTGGGGATTATCTGTATATGCTTTTCATCTGTCAACTGCATAAAATTTTGGAATTCTGAAGCCCTTGGACCAAACACCATAAGCATATTAGCTTGAATAATGCAACACTGCTTGTGGGTGTGAACATTAATGTTCACTTTTGAAATAGGTATATGATGGTTCACCTAGAATAAGAAGATGAAGGGTAAGGTCATATAATTGCACAGACGATCACATCCCAAGAATGGCCCCTATCAGGCAATATTTTGACATACAGGTGAAAACTCAACCCAAGGGAATCAAGGAATATTGCTCTGGTACGCTTATTGTTGAATTTGAGGGCTCAAGTCCAGACAGACTAATGTTGAGGACACAACAAAGCTGCCCAGCCCTTTTGGGAGGGAGAGGTTCACCAAAAAAGAGTGGAAGAACCAATAAACCAGTTCCGAGCCACATTAATTGGAGAGTGCTTGGCATGCATTTGGAACCCATCCTTCCAACATCTTCAAATAAAGGCAATAAGCTCATGTTTAGGATAAACTTTCAAAATCAGCTCATGTATCATCTCTCCCAAAGCAAATAATAGGATGAGGCCATATGGAGATCTGTTTCCTGGCCTTTTCTGGCAGTCTGCCATGAAGAAACCTATTTCAATGTGACATTTCTAATACCTGGTCCCCTGGCTTCTTCTTGCAGTGCAAGTAGCCTGAAGAACCCCAGGAGGCTCAAGATACCCAGTCCCCTGGCTTGTTCTTGCAGTGCAAGTAGCCTGAAGAACCCCAGGAGGCTCAATACATATGAAATGCTAAAGGAATATTCAGGTGCCAAGCCACAATAAATGGCTCATAATCTCCTCCTTTGGCTCACATTCTCCTCTATTACCAGGGAGATGGGGCCCAGAGATAAAAATAAAAATTTCCATCAAATGCAAGTCAACATGTGACACTACAAACAATACTGATTTCGCCCCAAGGAAAAATGGCAACTTGGATGGTGGAAAATAGATCAATTTTCTGGCACTTTTTTTACAAGATGCCTCAGGAGTAAAAAATTAGGCTAAAATGAGCTATTTTAGCCAAAAAATAAAAATGTCTCAAATGAGCTAAAAATTCATTTTGGAATGTTTGATGAATTTCTATCTCTGGGCTAAAATAGCTCAGTTTAGCCTAATTTCCACTCCTGAGGCATTTTGGAAAAAATTTCCAGAAAATTGATCCATTTTCCCCCACCCAAATTGCCATTTATTTTTGGGGCAAAATGGGTATTGCTTGTAGTGTGAGTCACACATTTTGTATTATTGGTCTGAATGCTATTTATAGACCAAAGACTTCCTGTTGTAAGGAATTATCATAAAAATCACTGCAGACAAGAGTAATATTTCAGATAATTTGGGTAATGAGCATTACCAGACAAGATGAAACAGAACATATGAGGAAGGGAAAAATTAGATAATCAGATGACACCAAAAAAGTCTTCAATAACAAAACATAATAGGGTTCAACCACTCAAACATGTTTTAACAATTCTTTGACAAGACTTCAGCTTCTCCAAAATGCATATCAGATGTATCTTCAAAATCCTCAAGAACAACACTGGAAGAATAAATCATAGACAAAAACGGTGCACTCTAACATATCTTGGGCAACAATGGGGTTCACAAACAAATCAATAATGTTTTAGCCTTTTGTTAACAAGAATTCCACATCTCCAAAATGCATATCAGTCTTCTCCTTGAAATCCTCATGCACCACACGATCAGCCACTCTGGTGACTTTGGCAGCAATTTGCATAGACATACCAAGCCTAGCAAATGGGCTACGGCCTCGAGGGGGGAGAGTTCCGTGGATATAGTCTCTTTGCCGAAAAGTGGCCAGGCACAACACTGGGAAGTTACATATCAGTTACTTTTTTTCTGGATTTTTAACTTGATACAACTTTTGAATATGAAGCCAATAAATTTTTTTGTCTGGTAGATATGAACAAACAGGCTCTCTTCTTACATATTTGAAAATAATTCTGGCAATAATGCTTCTACTGCGAACATGATAATTTAAACAAGACAAAAAAAAAGTTATCCAAGCCACCAGTTATCTGTAACTAAATTTGGCCACGGTATCCAGGATTAAAAAAATTTGAGTGGACAAAAATCATTATTTTTTTGACCAATCTCAAGGCCTAACCCCAGTTTATGCTATTTAGCTTATAGATTGAATTATTGGGTGCCTAGTCTTGAGTTAAAAAGAGAAGCAGTGAGATAACTGAAAAAGTAACTTCCCAGTGTTGCCAGGCACATCATATCCGGCTGAAACTTGATACCAAAGCCGCATTCAGGGAAAATGAAGTGCCCATTTTTGACATTGTAACCGTCTACCTTGAAGGCAAGGTCTCCTGTCCTTTTAAACGTAGGAATTGATAGAAGAAAAGCAAAAGGTAGGGATGGTTCGTCTTTGTCGTCAACATGAGGATGGTTGTAAAAGCTGTTTGTTGTAAAAGTCAGGTTTGAGGAAAAGAATGAATCGGGGGACGAAGGTTTTTCAGTGGAAAAGGCAGGTTGAAAAAAGGCTGGGATGCAGTGTTCGGTCATGAAATCTTGATTATGTTGAG